TTTTCTTGCATAACCCAACCCTTAACAAGGTGCATGTTGTATTGTCAAACGGAGTCTGAAATCCCCTCCCACCCCCTCAGGTGACTCTTGCATTGTCTTTTCACAGTTACAACATTCCACCATCAGAAAGGGGCTTTCAGGCACTGTTAAATATCCTAGCAAGTTGTTCACTTGAACTAAAACCATTAGATCTGATTTCATTCAACTGATGTTATTGTTGTTCAGTTTTTATATAGACTTGTGGAGAAAAACACGTGTAGCCTCAATGGTTGTCTGTAACAGATTATAAATCAAACTCATTAAGAACAGCAGGAAAATGCAGATCGAGGTGAAGTGGTGGCTCTGAAACCAAGCTGCAGCCTCCTGCTCCCCTTCAGGCAGCTGATAGGCAACATTATATGAGAGCGGGACAGCAAGCGGAGTGATACGCTGGTCTACAACAAAGGAGATCTCAGATAGAAAGAATATTTTTTTTTGCATCCTGATTTAGATCTTTACAGTTTTGATATCAAATATTTCAAATGTGTTGTGGCTTGAAATGTTCTGGCTTGCTGTTTGCTGCAGCTCATGCTGGAAATCCCTGGTTCCCAGTGCTCATATCCATACATCAATATCACTATCAGTGCCAGCCTCTGTTCAAAAATCTGAACTTTAAACACTGTAAAGGCAAATAAATGTCTAAAAACCTGTTTAATAATCGGGCTCAAAACAGAAACTCTGACCTTTCTCTGGTTGTTTACATGGAAATATGTAACTCAAACTGTCGCATTCCATGAAATCGCAGTGAGCATGCGGGAACGAGGAACAAACACTCAACTGAGAGCTTAAATAAACTAAATCAGACACACACACACATATCTCTTCATTCAAAGGGCAGTTTCTCAGAGAAGGAGGGATTGTGTTGGATGAGATGGATGGAGAGGAGAAGTGTAGGGCAGATGTTTGGAGGGGGGTCAGAACACACACACAGACACACAAACAGGCTGTTGTGCTACCATAGAGACAGCAGAGCTGGTCAGTGTAAAAGCAGAACGGACGCTGCAGGCCTGTTAATGCGAGTCCATATGGGGGAGAAGTCAGAGAGGAGGGGAGGGGGTCTGTAACCTCATTAACCTCTGACCTCGTCATTCTTAGCTACTAATCACTGCTCATGAGTGATATCTAACCTTTGACCCTGGCATATTCAGCACCTGCTTAGTGCTGTTTTGATCTCTGTCCTTGCTGCAGGTTCAAAGTCCAACTGGTGTGTGTTTTTGTGTGTGTGCAGGCCACATGCCAACAGGTAGACAGCCGCACATTTAAAGGGACAGACAGACTGAATGTGTTCATATGCACTGCCATGGGCAGAGATTTTCAGGATATGTATTTTGGGGCCACGGTGCATTTGAAATACCCCTTCATGACCAAATGCTTCCAGGAACTATAAACTAAACGAGGCATATTAATTTGATAATAGTTTATAAAACAACACCCGCTGAAGCTATGACAGGATTTTAGCAATTCCCCCAGTCGAACCCTGTTCACCTAATAAATGTTTGATGAGCCACTAACTAAACTTTGTAGTCAGTTATATATTTTTTTAAATTATTCAACATTTCAAAGGTTATCTTCTTGTATTATGGTCTAAATCTGGTTCCCAGTCTGAGAGTCACGGTCCCGCGAACAGGTTGCAAATTTTTTCTAAACAAAATCGCCATATTGTGACTTTTCTATAATAATTCCCTTATTTTTGCAAAGTCGCTAGAAATATAAGGCTTTCAGGCCTATAAATATTATTTAAATAAATGTTTAAGAATGGAAAATCACTCACTTGTGACCAGATGTCACACAGTATCGTTGTTTCCCTTGATAGTTAACTCAAGCCAAATAAACTTGAGAAACACTTGTCTACCGGTGGTTTCAAAGCCCTCATTAAACTACTATACCAGGAGCTTTGGCTAAGGGACTAAACATGGAATTTGATTTTTCTAGTATAACATAGGTTTCTGGGGCACCCCGTCGATGAATGGTTATGGCACGGTGCACCATATGGGTGGTTCAGGGGTTCATGACATCAGTGGTTCAACTCAGACCATTGGGAGCTCTCAAGGCCTCAGTCACCTCTTGTCTCCCATTTTTCTGTCCCCTTCACCACAACCTACATCATAAATAAAGGCTAAGAGCCTGGAATAAAAATAACAAAACATGGGTAAGGTTCCTGAGTTCCTAGAATGGTTCCTGGTCTGCTGTTGAAGATTAAAAAATGATTTAAACAGAATGAAACTGTACTTTAAACTATAATCTCACTTCTGATGCAAAAATCAAATCATACTTTTGGTTCAACTGTTAGATATTTTTAGTCAGATAGAAATTGGATAGATACTTTATGCATTAGAAATGTTTAGTGGAGATAGGATGTCTAGTTAGACTGTTAAATGCTTAGGCCTGCATATGAGTTTCTACAGGGTACATCTGGTCAAGGATAACTAGAGAGAAGAGTTGATGACTGTCAGCAGACAGGGTGTTTAATATTATTATTATGACGTGTATAACTGTAGCCTTAGCCATAATATGTTCTCGGTTGACGTTCCTGGGTAGTATGGGGCTAGCCCAACTGAGGGGATAAAAATGTATAGGCCTGGTGGGCTCGGGGTTTTTCATCTTACATCTGCCTGCGAGCAGTTTGGAGGTACAAGATACCTGAGCGTGTAATGTTAATTTGACCTGTGATCCTTTGAATAAATCAGCACTGTTTTGAAGTTACTTGGACTGTCTCGTCTCTCAGAGTTAGCATGGTAGCAGGAACTGGTTCCTACACAACATAAATAAAATATTTAGCTTAAAACATCAATATAAATGGTTACCCTAATGGTTAGCATGTTTCCTGTGGTGTGAAAGTGAACCAAATGCATTTTCTCTCCATGAGTGAAAGATGGCAATGAAAACAAAATACTGCACTTCTCCCTTCAGTGATCCCACTGTTACATTCCACCCACTTCAATCGCCCAGTGACTGCACAGAGATCGCCACTTTAACATTTAGGCAACATGTTTATTGAAATAAAATCTGCTTTTAGCTTTTAAAAAACAATAAAAGAAATACACTGTACATTTATTTCCCCAGAGAAGAAGAGTACATGACTGAGTAGGTATGTGACTGAACAGAGTTGATATGAGGCCGTGTGACTTTAAATCTGACTAGTGTGACACATCAAATGTTAACAGGCCACACATTAAGCCAGCAGGAGCGCTAGCAAGCTGCTAACACCAGCAGGAACTCTGATAGACCAACCAAACAAGAAAGCACAGTCTGAACTTTAGCTTCACATATACTGTATGATGGTGATAACAGTGAATACAGAGGTCTGTGAGTGTGAGTCTTTGGTACAGGTATTTAGATGGTGAACACAAATCTTTCAAAGGCAAGAGAACGATGAAATGGCTTTGTTACCCACACACACGACACAGTAATGGTGCAAAATAAACAGCAGATGAAAAAGCAAAAACAAAACAAAAAAATTATTCTGACATGTTGTTCACATATATGTACATTCTGAACATCAAACGACACCACGGTGTGATTGTCTCCTCACATTTCACAGTGCATGTGACATTTTCATTTTCACAGCCACGAGTCCATCAACATGAAGCCACAAAACAGCCGACGTGGCGTGAAAGCTTGTCACAGTCACACAGTTAATGGCCCCCATCTCCACCCTCCATTTTTATACATTAAATAGAATAGAGCAAGGCACGCTGGGAAAAGGAAGGCAAAAGCAGGCGCCTGGAAAATTACCTGCCATTAATCTGTGCAAACAATTGACTTTTTAGCCCCAGTGATTGGGAACACGGAAAAATTAAAGTCGTATTTCAGCTGACCTGACAGGAGGTGCAGAGGTTAAGAAATGGTTGTATTTAGTCTTACTGTACCTTTTCCTTCATAGTCTAGCAGCTTTTTACAACCCTCGTGCCCTCTTCCTTCTTATTCTCTATTCTTCAATGCTTGGCTCCCTCACCAAGCTGAAATTAGCTTAAATTGGTCTGAACTGGATGGAAAACACTCTAAAGTGCTGCTCAGCCAGTCTAGTTCCTGGGCAGAAAAAGCCAAGAGACAATAAAAATGGGTAGAAAAAAGGAACTAACTCAGGAAATCACAGTCACTCTTTGTCACACTTCAACAAGCTGATCTGGCTATAAAGAGCAGCTGAAAACCTCGAGGCAGCTCTCCAAAAAAGAGAAAGAAAAAGAAAAACATATTCGGACTTAATGAGGATGTCAGCATGAACCTTTCAATAGCCGAACAAAGAACTCCGGTTTCAAAACACTTGCGAATAATAAAAAAAAAAAAGGAGAAACTCAAAAGCTCCTTCATTTAACCCACGATGTAAATTAAAGCTAAACACAAACGAAACAAAAACATATCGAAGCTTAGGATAGACCCATTATGGGATTTTCATTGTGAAAACAGTAAACTGTGTGTTTACATCTTATGTCCAAAATGTTTTTTGTCATTTCTTGTGGTTTACTTGAAAAGCTATCAAATTTAGCTTTGCAAGACTTTTTATACTACTGATAATACTGTCAGAATCAAACATTTTGATGTATGACTGGGAAACAAAAACAGAAAAAACATCAACTCAAACATCAAAATCCATCCTCAAGTATGTTCAGACTCAGTAGAGTTCATTCTGGGGATTACGGTCAAATACCAGTCAAATATCCCCTGATACCTATTAATAAGCCCATATTTGGTCTATCCCTTATGTAATCCTTCAAGGTGTGAATATTGTGGTGTCCATGTTGAGGTGAAAACCAAAAACTGAACAGAACACAAATGGTGAACAAAACCAAATTAAATCAAAAGTGAAAGGGAACAACAGCCGTGGGTGCTGTGCAGGGGAATCAGTGCAGCTTTGGTGGAAGAATATTGGCTGTGCCAAATAAGTCCCAGCGTAACTACCACAACCGGTTGGTCCAACAGATGTCCCTGTGGTACATGGCCGTGTTAGCGCAGTCTCCTACCTGTTTGTTGGTGTATTTGGGTGGGTTGGCCTTGTAGCTGTAATCCGAATATTGGTCAGAGCCTGTGGAGTTGTTGTCGCCCGTTCCCACAAAAGTGTTAGTGGCAGGGAGGTCCTGAACAGCCTGGTGCTTCTTGGAGGCAGAGGGTGACTGTGGCTGCAGCTGGATGGAGGGTAGGGGAGAGTTGGAGCGGTAGTGGCGGCCCAGATCAGGGCTTCCTGGTGGGTAGTTAAGGGGCAGGTGGATTCTGGGACTGTCATTGACACTGTCATTGATGAGGTTGAATTTGAGGCCTTTCTGCAGGCTGGCTTCCTCATCCTCCTCCAGCGGCTTAGCAGGTTTTGGTGCTTTTCCCTTCTTGCTCTTCTTTCCTTTACCATTTTTGGGGCCCTGCTTGGGAGCATACAGGTCCTTACTCTCCTTCTTGCCAGCTTGGTAGCCACTCTTGGTGTCCTTCTGCAGTCGGTGTCTAATGACCACTACAGCTACAATGACCAGAATAACACCAGCAATACCTGCAAGGCTGCCGTACAGGATGTTGCTGCGCTGAGCGAGGGCATAGTTGGGATCTCCAGCAATGTCCCTGTCCAGAGGGGTGTACAGACTGTGTCCAACCAAAGCCTCAATGGAGGAGACATTGGACTTGGTTTCATTGACAAAAACGTGGACCAGGGTGGTGGTGTGGCGAGGAGGTTTGCCTTTGTCACTGACCCTCACCACGAGGCGGTGCAATCCATTGTGCTTGCCAGTGAATTCTTGTGCCAGTGTGATCTCCCCACTACTGGGCGAGATGTGGAACAGGCCATATGGATTGCCTCCTGTGATGGTGTAGAAAAGCTCAGCATTGGGTCCAGAATCAATGTCCTCAGCCTCTACCACCTCAACACGGGTGTCAGGTGGAGTGGCGGGTGTTAGATACATGTAGGAGGAGTTGGCTGGTTTGGTGACATAGGGGGCATTGTCATTCTCATCTAGCACATTGATGGTCACACCCACATAGGAGGATCGAGGTGGGTCACCAGCATCCACAGCCTTTAGGCGGAAGGTATAGGTGCTTTCCTTCTCGCGGTCAAAGGAGATGCTGGACAGGATGGTTCCTGTGCCATTCTGGATGACAAATTTGCCATTGTCTGGTTCCACAAACAGTCTCACTCGGGCATTCTCACCCTCATCAGCATCAGTGACAGTTACCACACCAACAGGATTGAGCGGAGGCATGTTTTCAATGACAGAGAAGCTGTAGCCACTTAGCATAAACTTGGGGTCATTGTCATTGCGGTCCAGAACATGAATCACCACTGTAGCAGTGCCAGTTTTGCTAGGAACACCTTTGTCTGCTGCTGCCACACGGAACTCATAACGGTCTGTCTCCTCCCGATCCAACAGGTTCTTCACACGAACCTCCCCAGTGTTAGAATCAATCTCAAAGAGCTTATTGGCAGAATGCTCAATGATGCTATAGGCCAACTCTGCATTGATGCCATTGTCTGCATCTGTCGCCACAACATCCAGCACCTTTTCACCTGGCTGGTTGCCCTCTGCAAAGTCCACCTCAAGCATCGCAGGGGAAAAGTTTGGTGTGTTGTCATTCATATCTGTGACTTGGACTTTGAGAGAATTGGTGCTGGACAGGGCTGGGTTCCCAGAATCCACAGCAACAATTTCAATCCTGTAATCTTTAATACTTTCATAATCAAGCAGGGTAGTTGTCTGCAGGAAGTATTTCCTCTTTCGATCACTGGCTGACTCGCTTGCAGGCCGGAGCTGAAATGGGACATCACCAGCAACCACGCAGGTCACCACTGCATTTTCCCCCTCATCACGATCCGATACCTGGACCAACGCCACTGGTGTACCAATTGGCATGTCCTCAGAGATGTTGGCTATACCATTGTGGTGTGTCACCAAGCCAATACCACGGATCTCAATGGCTGGTGCATTGTCATTCTGGTCCTTGACATTGATGTTTACGAACACTTTGGAGCTCTTAGAGTTGGGCCCTCGATCTTTGGCGACCACAGCAAACTTGAGAAAGTTCTCTTCCTCGCGGTCCACCAAGCCTTTGACATAGATGATGCCAGTAGCACGGTCAATGCGCAGAAGCCGCTGGACTGATTCTGGTGCCTGATGGAGGATGTAGTCAATCTCTCCATTGGTACCAGCATCTGCATCATTGGCTCTGACCTACAAGGAGAAAAGAGGAAGTTTACCTTTTCATGGCCAAACACTGTTTAACAAGAATCATACATTTTGCCAAAAGGTTGACTCTTGGCTGAAGCACCCAGGATGTCAGTTTCAATGGGTTAAAATTTAAGATGACAAAAAGCTCATTGTTAGTTAAAGTCAAAATCCTTCTGACTACATGGCAATGTCTGTCCAACCAAACTGGAAGTGTTTAATGTTTTAATTCAGTTAATTGTCAAAACCCATAAATTAAAGCTGCATTTCAAAAACATTTTTCCCTTCAGAATCACTTGACCTGAACATATGACTTTTCCATTGTTCTACTTAGATTTAAGGTCATATTCCTCCATTTCTGTTCCTCTTAACTGTTCAAAACAAAGTTTAGAAGATGTCTGGATTCTTCATTAAAAATGGCAAAACTAAGCACAACTCCAATTTTTCAAGACAAGGAAGAATGAGAGCCTCTTTGGAGTAGCAGAAAATACAATGTCAAGACAAAGAAAGACAATTAATTGGATGTTTTGCTGTTCATACACATTACTTGTTCAGGCTTAATGACAGAAAAAAAACCATCTCCTAGATAGAACCGCTTCAATTTCACAATAAAAGTCTGGACATTAGTTTTATTTCAACTTGGTAATCAGTTGCAATAGATTCTCTGTGTTCACTGTGCTCCTCTTCTATGTGTCAATAATATACTAATTCATCATAAATATTTAAATTTGAGTTTTAGCATTTTCATTATTAGCTTATTTACACTGGAATGATTACTTAGATTCTTTGGCTTACAAAGAGTCACAACAGTTACCATTGCAACACTGCAAAGCTCTTTGTTTCTTTTTACTGGGAGGAGTTTTTCTGCTGTATTAATCATAACAGACGATCAAAGCTGAGTGCACATACCCAGACAACAACATCTAACGGCTGTGCAGTGGGTCATTTGTATCTAATGGATGGATGAGTGAATGTTAATGTCCCTATCATTATCAGAAAAGCCCTGGCTCCTCAGGGCCCATTAGGAGACCAGAGAAGACAGAGCAACATCGGCCACAATCCGGTTTCATACACCCAAACCAAAGTCAATTAGTCAATTACAAGGCCCAGGCAGTCGCCAGAATATCACTTAGGATGTACTCGTTAGGGCATCTTTCCATCTGAACATCTAATACTTTTAATTGCACTCATTCAGTGCCATGGCTGCTGTAAAGAAATGTTGGTCTGAGTCTAGTTTCAAATGAACTAGTTGTTAAAGAGCTCATTTAAATGTCCCAGGTGCTGCTGTTTCAGCATTTCTGCAGCTTTCACCTGGGGCCTACATTAATGTAATTAGGATTTTTATTTTAAGTCCATTTATTTCTTTAAAGTAGAACTGGATCTGAGCCAAGCTAGCACTCCGCAAAATAGGTCTCCTAAATATTTTTTTCTTAAAAAAAACAAGAAGAGGAAATCTAGAAGAGGGTCTGAGATGATCCGAGTCCATTTAAACCAACAGTAAAACTGTTGTTTGGTCCAAGGACACAAATGTATTAGAAATTGCAAGTGGTCATGCCAAAATTAGACATTTTGGGATGTACACTCATTTGATTTCCAGCCAAGATTTGGAGGTCAACACCACCCCATACCACTCTGTAGGTAAATATGAAGCTACAGCCAGGATCTGGTTAGCTTAGCTTAGCATAAAGACTTGAAACTGGGGGAAACAGCTAGGCTAGGCAGATAGGTAATAATATCAGCCTGCCAGCACTTCAAAAGCTTGTTAATTAACACATTTTATTTGTGCAAAAGCTGTTTAAAAATGACAAGCTGTTTTTAATCAGGGGTTATGTACAGGACCATTTCTTGGACAGGAGCAATGACTTCCACAAGCTTGTTAATTTTACAGTTCTGTTTTTGTACAGATCAAACCAATGAGATACAAAATGTAAAATATTATCATGCTTCTGGAGTGCTGAAAGGTGAAAGTTAATTACCAGTGGACAAAGCCAAGACACCTGTTTCCCTATGTCCAGACCTGAACTGCAGCACCTAGTCGATCAATCAACAGAGGATGAATCAGCAACTACTTTGACAACTAATCATTTAATTCTTTCTTTTTTTTCAGAAAAACAAATGGTAAGCCATTGGTGGTTCAAATCTGATAAACTGTTGCTTTTCTTGGTCTTAGATTATTGTAAGCAAACGGGCTGCTGGTTGAGGTATTTGCCATAAAGACATATGTAATATCTAACTCTCAACAAGAAGTGTACCGAATATGTCAGGTTGAACTCTGGGAAATGTTTATGAAATGTGAATAAAGTAGAATATTTTCATTTACTGGTATGGTCCAACTATTAAAAACTAAACAACAACAGCAACAAAAAACTCAGTGTAAAGCAGGGTGATATAGAAGAGCTGATTTGTCAGTATAAGAAAGTATCTTACACAAGCATCACCAGCATTTAAAGAGGAAATCAGGGTCTAAAAGGTTTACAGAGCCAACAGGATCTCTGAGGGATTTTCTATTTAACACAGACTGTAGGTCACACTGGCACATAATAAATATGTGGTTTCCTCCCTGCTGAAGATCACACACAGTGACAGACTGTCACCGGCACCCATGGGTGATCATGGAAACCACTGATCCAAGGTGGACAAGCTAAGGTTAAAGATAGCATGGCAGAGAAATTATAATTTCTCCTGCACGTTGCTTTCCTTTCCTCCTTTGTGGCTTTAAGCAGCAGACATCACCGAACAGTGGTAAATTATTGACAGCGTCTAAGAATTGTGTATTGAAGGGTTGAGCTGCAGGAGCACGGTGCTGCTGCTGCTCTGGCTGCTCTCCAAGGCCACGCTGCCCAGACGCACAGCAAATATAAACACTCTTTATCTCCCAGTTAACAATTAGGCGAGGCAGACTGCTTTCGAACAGACCAGATTCTCTGCATGTTTTAATCAATCTACTACAGTAAACCTCTGATGTCCCTTCTCTTCTGACCATTCTTCCATGCGTAAATCCATCAGTGTTTAGCCTTGTTTTTTTCCTTCCAAGGAAACTGGTTTCAGCTTATTAAGAAAATCTGCTTTCACAGACTTGGACTGTAGTGTAGAGAAATAATTCATCACAGTTAACTTCCTGTCCAGCTTTCTGTTGACTAAACAACATTATAATTAGATGGTAGTTCAAATAATTTTGGGCTGCTTCTTTATGATTGATTTATCACCTGGTTGTCAAAAAAATATTTGGTGTATATAATAATAAATACTAGTTTTTTTTATTGCCTCCTTTGGATAATGACAAAGCTGTGTCAATATTCTCAAATATTCTTTGGTCTGTAATGAGCTCTAGATTTAAAGAGATCCTTCATCTGAAAAGGGAAAAGAACAATTTGACAGGATCTTACAATCAGTCAAAGAAAAGTTCTGATTGTGAGCCAAGCCAGCTGAAGGCTCTGAAAAGCGTATTACTTAGTGACGGGGTCCTACATGAACACAGCATGGCCTGAATCGGAGATTTCTTGGAAAATAGCATTGATTATTTTACACAAGAGCCTTTTTTTTCTTTGTGTGAGAGAGGGTGGATTGGGTGTGTGTGTGTGGGGGGGGGTGGTGTCTGGGGTTTCCTGTCAATCAAATCTGACCAACCCTGTTGCTTATGTAAAGGTACATATTTGAACTTGAATAAAAAGTCTCAGTTCCCAAGGCCAACTTTTTTCCCCTCGGTTTTTTAGCCTCATCTCAAGATTTTCCTCATCAGATGACTCAACATTCTCAATTCTTTTTGCTGATTAAAGCTGTGATACCTCACTGAAAACACTAGAAAAAGCTTAAGTTGAAGAAGAACTTCAACTTCAACTTCAAGGATAAGATCCAGAAAAAGCTAGCAAGTTAAGATTTTTCTGTCAATTTGCTCTTTCAAAGATCAAGACTGAACTTTCATGTCATTATTATTAATGTTATAAATATACATATGAACACACATAAAGGTACTTTAAGAATCTCTTTCCAGACTGTACATTGTGGTTTTTACTGAAATAAAGGAACACTAGCAGCTGCCTGGAACGTAAAAAATCCACACAACATCAGATGGCTTGAGTCTGAAATAGTACAATGGGAGAAAAAAAGGTTAAAATGTGAAAAATGCAGTGGTATGCTTTTTAACAAGTGAAAAGGCAGGGATATGCATGTCTGTGCCGCCCCTAGATGATTTAAGCAGGTCGGGGTCGTCAGTCAGCGGCGTCCCGCTGCCTCTACAGCTTCACTCCTCAAACGCACACAAGTGAAATGAATTCTGCGGCTCTCTGAAATGCAATGAGCCACAACCAGAGCAATAATACCAATAAGCCTGGTGGATAATCTCATGACTGACTCAGATTAAGTCATTCATGGCTCTCTGGAAGGCAGACTGGTCGCAGTCACAGAGGAAAGGGAGCAGGTGGAGGGTGATACAGTGAGGAGGGTCTGTCAGAATGCTGCATAGCCACACCAAACCTTCCTGCTTTGCCATCTGATGGGGACATCACATACCGCCGCCCCGGCTGAGAGCTCAAAGGTGAAGTTGAATCAGTAGTTAATATGTGACTACACGCGGCGATCCCACGCCCTGTTTCACCTCTGCTGTACCATCTGTCTGTACAGATAATTGAGCAGCATATTATGTTCAGTCACTGTGCTGTGTTGTCCTGCAGCTCTTAGTGTTATCACCAATGGGGCCAAAGGTTCCACTGCAATGTTTGGTGGACAAGAAAATCTCTGGGTGCACTCCTGAGAAGCAGCAACAATGCTCAGACACGCGGAAGGACAAACCTACCCTGAAGGAAACTGTCTTTACCTTGATAAGGGCTATCATTCCAAAATTTCCAATACCAGTACCTTGACTTTGATACCTGTTCCTAAACAATACTGTATTCAATATCAATTTTATAAAATCAATAAAAAAATATATACATATGTTACACATTTTGGTACAGATCATTAGTTTTGTTTTTCAGTTCCTTGGCATTTTTGTGCACTCAAAGCAGCTTCATAACAAAAGTATTTACCACAACCTTAAGTTTTGTTAAGAGTAACATCACTAAATAAAGTGTTTGGAAAAGCATTTTTCAATGCTCGATGGTATTTAAATAATTCGACTGATGCCATTAAAGTATTTATGTTGGATACCCAGCACTAACCTTGATGTAAAAACAAATTTGTGAAACATTTGCTCCAGTATGATAGTGAGGACAAATATTTGGCAGTAAGATGTTGCTCAGCTGAATACGGATGCCACCTTTACACAAGAAACTCATCAGCCTGTTGCTTTAGAGGTAATGATTTCAAATCTGAACCCTGACTGTTCCCTTGTTTTATTTTTATTTTTTGCACTGGTCTTATTTATTCTATTTTAGTCATTTATTGTGATTTTATTCTGCCATGTAATGTACTTTGGTCAGCTGGATGGTGTTTTTAAAGTGCTATATAAATAAATTTGATTTGATTTACAATACAAGTCCACGTTTCTCTAACTACCGCAACCATTGATCTGGAAGAACTGACAGGAATGATGGAAAACGGTGCTGTCCACTTCTTGTGCTTGTGGCTAACTTTCTTGTTATGAACTTACAGTCTATATGGTAGCATGTGTGTGTGTGTGTGTGTGTGTGTACTGACCTGCAGCACTGAGTGCCCCAGCGGACTGTTTTCTGGTAGTTCGGCCTCGTAAAAAGTCCTCTCAAACCTGGGAGCGTTGTCGTTCTGGTCAGTGACGGTGACCCGCAGAAGAGCGCTGCTTCCCCGTGCCGGCTTCCCACCATCCACCACCCGGATGTTCAGGTCATAGGAGTCCTTCTTCTCACGGTCCAGGTTGCCCATGACCACCAGCTGTGGCAGCTTCTCATCTGAGTCCACAGCAACCTGCAGGGTGAAGAGCTGGTCAGCGTCCGGCCTGGCGCTCAGGGAATATTCAGCCACGCCATTGGTGCCGGAGTCCTTGTCGGTGGCCATGGGGATGGAGAAGAGTGCGCCGATGTGTGTGTTCTCAGGGATGGAGAGGGTGAGGATGGGTGAGGCAAACTGCGGCGTGTTGTCATTGATGTCCACCACTTCAATGCGGCCTTCGATCAGCCGAGGCCCCAACCCGATTCCTTTCACCATGTCAGTGATCGACACCTCGAACTCCAAGAAGCACGGGTCGCCTTCAAACATATTGCGGCAGTCTCTGAGCGCCTCACGATCAATGGGGATCTCTGTGGTGTAGATGTCACCGGTTTTGCCGTCCACACGCAAGTACGGTGAGCCCACCTCCAGCTTGTAGAGGTGTCCAGTGTCGGGTAGGCCCTGGTCTGCCGCCAGGCTGCCAATCAGCGTGTTGGGCGGTTGCTCCTCAGGAACCCGATATAAGATGTCAGTGGGTGCGGCCTTGCAGGAGACCAGCAGGATGACTGCCAGGAACAGCAGAACCTTCCACCTCGGTGTCGCCATGTCTCCACCCGACAGCACAGCTCTGCAACAAACACACAGAAAGCACATATTGGTGACACTTGTCCTCCATAAGGCCTCCAGACAGCATCAACACAGGATCCACAAGTGACCCCTCTCTGAGATTAATGTCAGAGCTGTTAGGAACAGACTACTGAATTCATCTCCTTGGGCCAATAATCATGTCCCACACAGTTAGTTACAAGATGAAAAGGTACAAGGTTGCAGGTCGAGTGTCATGGCCATGGTAGTGTGCAGGGAGCAGCTGAGCAGCACAGAGCGATGACTTCCTCCTGCTGCCAGGAAGACAAACCGAGCACTGCTGCAGGCAACAGTCTCAGCAACTCAGACCTAAGTCTTTAGACCTTTTTTTGCCGATTAGAATAGATAGTAAACTGTATTTGAAACTGTGTGGGAAGAGTTATGAGGAGGCCTGCACTCTTGACATTTGGTCCATGTGACAAACATTCCATCAGCTCTTCATGTCTGGTTTAAGTAGTTAAGTGTTTATTTTAAGTGGTGATGAGATATGTACACGGTGCACAGAGAGCAGCAGGCATGTGGGGTCAGTAGGGGCCCAACAAGCTTAGCCTTGACCTGGGGGCCCCACTGGGGTAAATCAGGCCATGATTGACTCACCAGGCTCATGTCTGTGAGGCAGCTTTAGTTTCCCACCACAAGAACAGCAGCTAAATACGTGTAATATTTTTAAAATTTAGTTGAGACACTAAATCCTAAATAGTATTCGTATAGTGAGAGTGCCTCTTTCTTACAACGTCTGAGGTCTTGAATGTGTAATGGATAATTTGCTTGCAGACATCCTTATCTTCTTCTAGCAAATGAGGCTGTTTGCAAGGATCATAAACTCAGATTTAAGGCTGTTTAAAGCGTTTAGATGTAAATAAGAATGAAAGAGAAGAACACTTCTATGTTATCCATCTGCCTAAACAGGATTTAAAACATAAGGATGATTTTTTTTCTGTTGAGCCTATGCTGGATTCAATGCTGCGATCAAAGCTGAATGTTTCACTCTACCATCTTTTCCACCTGATGTTTGACGTTCATAATGCCACACTGGAGTTAATACTCTTCTAGATATAAACTCTTTCTTCTTCTCTGGCCCTCCTCCTTTCCTTCTCTTTCTTCTCTCATTCTCTACATAATTCTTCTTCTTCTCGAGTAATTCACCTCAGACACACACTCTGCATTTTCTGCTGTAGGAGATTCTCTGCTGTGAGTCACTGAGGTTAATCTGAAGCACTTTGTTTTTCTCATCATGTCCTTGAGCACACACACACAACATAGGTCAGAATGCTGAGCAGGAGGCAGGAAGTGTTGATGGTCTCCTCATCCTACGAGTAATGTGTTAGGTATTTTTTTAGTCAGATAGATATTGGTTAGATACTTGTTGTATTAGAAATGTTTAGTGGAGACAGGATGTTTACGTAGGCTGTTAAATGCTTAGTCATTCTCATGAGTTTTTTGCAGGGTGCATATGGTCAAGGATAACTAGATAGAAAAGTTTGACTGTCAGCAGACAGGATGATTATTGTTATTATTATGATATGTTTAGCCGTAATCTTAATCATAATATCGTCCTAGGCTTAATGTCCGGACATGTCCCTGAATGTCCTGTATGTTCTTAGATACACACCACTTAATCAACACTCACACACATTGATTTTCTCCATATTTTGACTACTGCTACGGTCAGCTGTAAAGCTGGCATATCAGGTGATGTCACGGTTTGACGTCCCTGTGTAGAATGGGGTTAGCCCAAACCAGATATAATGTACAGGCCTGTTGGGTTTGGGGTCTTTCATTCTTCATCTGCCTGCGCGCAGTATTGGAGGTGGAAGATGCCTGGACGTGTAATGTTCATTTTGCCTGTGATCCTTTGAATAAACCAGCACGGTTTTTTATATCCAAGTGGACCGCCTCGTCTCTCTGAGTTCCTGGTTAAGGGAACTGGGAAAAATAGCTTTCAAATGTAACATTGCTGTACAGAGATCATTGTATATTACTGAACATTTTGTGGGTGTAGGAGTGAATGCTTGTATTTTCTGAGCTGTTACATCTCATATACTCTCGCTTTATGATAATGATGATCATCATTATCATTATCATAAACAAGAGAGAGAAGATGGGCATTGTGCACATTCATTCAGGAACAATCAACATTCTGAACTCTTCCAGCAGCTTGTGCAGTGCTTCTGACCACAGGGTCTGGTCTGAGGTTAGTGCTAACTGTCTCCTCAGGAACTATGAGCTGATTCCTTACATCTACTTTCATTTGCCAGCCTCTCCCCGCCTCAAGAAACAGGTCTCACATTTGCAAATATGTGACTTACCTCAGAAACAGCATCATCAAAGTGTAAGTGAACAACAATATTAATCTAATTCTAACTTTAATTTGTCACTACAAAAAAATCTCACTGAGGTTCAGCACTGCTAAGAGCTTACACATTCAGATTAAACTGTATTCTCTCTGTTTTAGAAAATATCTGGGTGTCCATCAGAGCCAAATCTATTCTGTTTTGCATTGGATTCTTGTCTTAAGTCACTTAACAACATGACTGTCATGTCCCAGTCTTCTCCAATTGTAAACAGAACAATTTGGAGGTTTTTATGCTCCTCTTTGGACAAGACAATATATGTGAAGTTGTCATCTTGGACTCTGTGAAGGTCTGATGGAAAACTTTCACTATTTTCTGACACTTTATAAACAACAATTAACTGTTAAATTTGACTAATCAGTAATGGAAATGAATAACTGCAGCCCTAGTGTCTACATACTCTTGGATATTTAATGCATACCACTGACCATGCCAGGACTTTGTGAACTTTTAAGTGGAACACTACAAATATTAATCACAGAGAAAGAGCTGCAGGAGATGTTGTCATTGCTGCGGCAGTAAATATGATGACCGTGGTTCTGCACAATGACAAAAGCAACCGATCGCTACAGCTCTTCTTTAGTGATGGTAATTTTCAATACCAAGAATTTTTATTATTATTTTTTTTTACATTCAATCAATTAAGATTTAAGTCTATGAAATTCCAGAACACAGTGAGAAATGCTCATCACATGTTCCAACCTGAATCAGAACTGGAAGAGACCCACTTACAAAGATTTAAAACAGAGAAAAGCAGAAACAGCTGAGAAGCTAAAAGCAGCACGTGCTTGATGTTGTCCAGTTGCTCCGCTCCCTACTGTGACACTCAAACACCTAATTACCCCCACAAAAAAGAGTGTGTGTGCATTAGCAAGTGTGAATGCGCATCCGAATGCCTTTGTACTTATGTGTGTGTTACAATGCAAAATCTGTGTCTGTTTCTTTTGTCCCATTTTTCTCCAGAGCTGCCAAATACCCTCTCAAACCCCGACCTCTGACCTCTGATTGTTAGCCTGAGAAGCTAATGATATTATACTGATATTTGTCTGATATATACAAAAAAAATCAGCTTCTGTACTAATACCTGAGCCTGGATACACACACCTTAATTCAGAATCTGACCCAAGATTTGAAGCTGCTTTCAGTTCACTTGTTACCTTAATGAAAAAAGTACTGAGGGTCAAAATCTATGCTAGTTAAAAATATTATTGAAGATATCACACCTACCTATGATACACACTGAATCTGTGCAACACTGGAATTCACAAGTTGCACAACCGTATGACGCAGTAGCAACCTGACATTGTTGGACTATATTCTTCTGCTGCAATATGCTGTTGACCTGATTAGGTCCTACACATGTTCATTTTTATCTGTTCATATTCTCATATTGACTGTACAATTCTTGTGTTACTTATGTAAAAAATGTGCCTTTTAAGCCGAGAGCTGCTGGAAGACATTTCGTTGTGCTATGCATAATGACAATAAAGATTCCTGACTTGACTCTTGACTCACTGCCCCCAATCTCTATTAGCTCCCAGCTGCATGTGAATTATATGTCCTGTAATGTAAACACTAACATATGGAAGTGCTGATGTCTGGGCTGTGAGAATTTAGGGATCTAAAAAAAAATTAATCTCCAGGGCAAATGTAAAGAAAGTTGAGATAAAAAACAAAGTGCAGTGTGATTGTTTGTTCAAATGCAGTGTGCACTGTGAAACTGCATGTCCCGTGTCCTCAGGGACCGTCCGGGGTGAGCCGGGGATCGTCCAGCTCATCCTTTTTCCCACAGTCTCAAACCAGCCAATGTGCGTGTTTGGTGTTTGTGCGTGCATAAGGAGGAGTAGGTGTGTACAAAGAGCCCGGGTCAACCAGTCTGTGTGTGCATGGTGGGGGGGACAGTTAAGGACAATGATGTTTCCATTTGTAAGGAGTCGGTAACTGTTTGAATCCATTCTGGAACGGATGAGGGACAAAGAGTCACAATAGCAGACACAGGGGGAGAGAGAGAGGGCGTGTCCAGACAACAGCGCTCGACTCAATAGCCCCGTTACCACCCACTGTGTGTGTTTGTGTGTGTGTGTTTAGTATTGATATTCAGAGTGTGTCTCCATGTTAATGTCCCACATGCATCACACAACTTAACTACTATGCATTAGATTACATTAAGCAGACGAGCTGCATTAATGCACCACGTACACTTTTCTAAATACGTGTATAAAAGTGACTTAACTTAATAAGCAACAAATAAAAGTAAATCAGAGACAACAGGAGTCACATTAAAGTCAGCTGAGAAAACCCATTTAAAGTAAGACATGCTTTACACTCGCTCCAACTGTATAAGCTAACGACAGCTGCATCTACGTTTTATTGTCAGTGTTCATTTGAGTCTATAGAGAAAAGTGAGTTTAGTCAGAAAATAGAGTAACATCTTCAAATGACAATCTGTCCAAAACATTTCATTAATTATTATAAATGACTAACACAAATATATACATAGATAACAAATGTCACATTTGGAACCAGAACAAGCTCACTTTAGCATAAAAGTCACTTTAAAGATCAACTGATTATCAAACTGCCGCCAACTGCTGTTCACTCATTGTTTCAGCTCCAAAACTCAACAGCA